ATAGATAGATAGATAGATAGATAGATAGATAGATAGATAGATAGATAAAATAAGGCAGCTACTTACCTTATCTTGTCTTCTGCTAGCTAAAAACCCACTTAAAGGGCTTGGTTTGAGATTTGGAAATCAGCAAAATTCAGAGGCTCACTAACTTAACCAAAAGGTTTTGCTTCTTGAATGAAAACAAAGGAAAGGAAAAGAAAAAGAAAAGAAAAGAAAAAAAGAAAGGATAAGGAAAGAAAGGAAAGGAAAGAAGGAAAGGAAGATAAAAGAGGGAAGTAGGGAAAGAAAGAGAAGGAAAAGAAAGGAAGATAAAAGAGAGAAGGACAGGGAAAGGAAAGAAAAATTATTTGGATATTCCTTCTTCCCCTCAGTTTCTCTCTCTCTCTCTTTTTCTGCAGCCTCGGCTACCTTTGAGGACTTCCAGATCCGTCCGCATGCTCTCAACGTCCACTCCTACCGGGCACCGGCGTTCTGCGACCACTGTGGAGAGATGCTTTTCGGTTTGGTCCGCCAAGGCCTCAAATGTGATGGTATGAAACCTCTCCCTCCCCTAGATGCAGTTTTGTACTTCTAAGAAAGCTAGATTTGCACTCGGGATTTGCATTCTTTGGGGAAGGGGCGAAGGGAAAGCTGCAATAGAGAACAGGGATGGTCAGAGGTGGGTTTTTTTATTCCTTTTTTGTGATGGCCATCTATATCTCCTATTTTCCTTGGAGGAAAGAAGCCATAGCAGTAAGAATGAGCAATTAGAATCAAATAGAATAGAATATTATAGAAAATAATAAGAATAGAATAGAAAATAATAAGAATAGAATAGAATAGAATAGAATAGAATAGAATAGAATAGAATAGAATAGAATAGAATAGAACAGAATAGAAAATAAAATAAATAAGAATAGAACAGAACAGAACAGAATAGAAAATAAATAAGAATAGAACAGAACAGAACAGAATAGAAAATAAATAAGAATTGAATAGAATAGAAAATAAATAAGAATAGAATAGAATAGAAAATAAAATAAAATAAATAAGAATCGAACAGAACAGAACAGAATAGGTTGGAAGGGATCTTGGAGGTCTTCTAGTCCAACCCCCTGCCTAGGTGGGAAACCCTACACCACTTCAGACGAATGGTTATTCAACTTCTTCGTAAAAACTTCCAGTGTTGGAGCAGCCACAACTTCTGGAGGCAAGTTGTTCCACGGATTAATTGTTCTAACTAATCTATTTCTCGTAAAAGTCTTTATTTTTATTTTCCATGTGGGAAAAATGACTTTTTGGGGTCTTGAAACATCTGGATGTGCCCAGATGTTTGGACTGTCAGAAAGGAAGACCTAAAAGACATGCCTAAACGAGTAATGTTTGTCAACCTGGCCAACTTTAAGCAGGGTGGAGTTCAAGTCCCAGAATTCCAGAGCCAGCTCCTGGCTGAGGGATTCTGGGAGTTGAAGTCCGCACACAGCTTAAAGTTGCCTATGTCGAGAAACACTAAAATTGAGCATTGGCCTACCCTGCAGGGCTGTTGTAAATTCCCTCTCAGCCTGCAGAGCGAACGGTGTAGGGAATATAAGTTTACTGGCAGAGCATTTGAAATGATTATGGAAAGAAATACTTTTTCCTCACTCTCCTGGCCTCTCTGGCCTCTTCCGCCCCTCAGGTTGCGGCCTGAACTACCACAAACGTTGCGCCTTCAGTATCCCCAACAACTGCAGCAGCGCCAGGAAACGCCGCCTCTCGTCCACCTCGCTGGCCAACTCGCAGTCCTTGCGCCTGTCCACCACAGAGTCCTTGCCCTGCGTCCCGGACGAGCTGGTGAGTCAGCCCTGGCTGCCACCCGCCCCCCACGCTGGGCCTGAGGAGGCTTTGCTTTGGCTCTGCTGGTTTTTCCTGAGCCTTGAGGACTAGAAACCTGATGTGCTCGGGGCGGAGCGTGAATTCTCCTTCACCGGTGTGTCACTTTTGTGATTCAGTAATTTCTAACGGTTTTGGAGCACTCCGAAGCAGCTTTCCTTCATGCCTCCTTCCCTCTCTCCCTCCCTCCTTCCCTTCTTTCTTTCCTTCCTTCCTTCCTCCTTACCACCCTCTTTTCCTTCCTTCCTTTCTCCCCTCCCCTCCCTCCTTCCCTCCCTCACCATCTTCCTTCCTCCCTTCTTTCTTTCCTCCCTTCCTCCTTACCTCCCTCTTTTCCTTCCTTCCTTTCTCCCATCCCTCCCTCCCTCCCTTTCTCTCCCTGTACTGATCCTGTTCCTCTCCTTCCGCCTCATCCAGAGCCGGAGTTCCACGGAGATTTTCCCCCGCCGCCTGACCTCCTGCACCTACATTGGCCGCCCCATCGAGCTGGACAAGCTCTTTCTCTCCAAGGTGAAGGTGCCCCACACCTTTCTCATCCACTCCTACACCCGCCCCACCGTCTGCCAATACTGCAAGAAGCTCCTGAAGGGGCTCTTCCGCCAGGGCCTGCAGTGCAAAGGTGAGGAGGGGGAATGGGGAACTCCCTGCCACCAGATATCCGCAGCCTTACAGAATGTCAGAGCGTTTGCAGCATGACTCCTATTACAAGACAACCCAGGAGCAAAACACACAGCACACAATTAACAGTGGTTTATATACAAGAGAAACTCTACAATGAAGAAGGACACAAGGAGAGAGAACACGCCCTCTAATGCCTGCCTTTATATAGACACCTCTTAAAGAGGTAAAACTTCTCTAGATCCATTCTTTGTCTTAAAAGGGCAATGCCCATGCTATGCTGATTCCTCCTTATTGCATCAGCCTTACAGCAACTGGCCAGCTCTTAAATTTCAATACATTAACACAGAACCTGTTTTATTCCTGGTCTCCCCCTGCTGGTGGCTGATGGCATTACAGCCTCCTAGTCACCCCTTTTCATGGACACAGGGGAAGCGAGTGGCTTTCGGGGAGCGGGGGTCACTGAAAAACAGGTTAATCTCTCTCTTTTTCTCTCCCCCCCCCTCCCCAAACTCCCCTCCAGATTGCAAATTCAACTGTCACAAGCGTTGTGCGACCCGGGTGCCCAATGATTGCCTGGGAGAGGCGTCCTTTAACGGTGGCGGTGAGTTCCAAAGACATCTCATGTTGCAGGAAGGGGCAAGAAGGAGGAGACTCTTGCTGTGGGGTGGGTGGGATTTTATTCCTGAATGGGACCCCGGGAGGGGCAGAAGGACACCAGATGCTGGATTGGCGTCAAACAATGCAAAGCTGACCTTCAAACAGTGTTTCTAACCCGTGCGATTCGCTTAACAATGGCAGTGATTTGCTTAACGACTGTGGCAAAAAGGTCATAAAGTTGAGCGCGATGCACTTAACTGTGTTGCTTAGCGCAGGAAATCCTGGTCCCACTGTGGTCGTAAGGCGAGGACTACCTCTCTAGTACCCCGTTTGACCGTTTCGAGGTACCCACGGATTACCAGATCTCTGGCAATTTGCTGGTTCTTCCTGAGCCTTGAGGACTAGAAACCTGATGCGCCTGGGGAATCAGGTTTGGATTTGCCTCACTGGATTCCTCCCCGCTCTCCTTCCCCCCAGATGTGCCGATGGAAGAATCGAGTGATCTCAGCGAGGCGGATAAAAACTCGCTCATGGACGAGTCCGACGATTCGGGGATCATCCCGGGGTCTCATTCGGAGAACGAGCTGCACATGGACGAAGACGCGGAGAGCCTCCAGAAGTCCCAAAGGTGAGGCAGAGACCCCGGGTGCGCCATCCTCTTGGCTCATGGGCTCAACGGTGGTCGTAAGCAGGGGGTGGTATTCTACCGGTTCGGACCGGTTTGGGCGAACCGGATGTTAACTTTACAACTGGTTCTCTGAATCGGTAGTTGAACCGACTGGCTGGCCCTGCCCATCCCTCCCCTTCCCTCCCAGGAGTCTCCAGGTGGCCCATTTTGGATTCAGGTAAGTGCAGGGTCCACATGGAGATTCTGGGAGGGGGGAAACGGGCTTTCTGTAAGTTCAGGAAGTCCGGAAACGGGCGTGTTTCCGGCTTCCGGAAGGCCTCCGGAGCCCGGGGGAGGCCATTTTCGCCCTCCCAGA